AATCCTTTGTTGGTGCACGTCTAATACATACGGAGTTCAAAACACTACAGTTTCTCAAGTTGATTAAAGGCCGTGTCACACTGGCGTTTTTTTCGTGCAACTTGTGTCGCGCAAAAAAATGTTGAAGTTGCACGATGCCATGTCACACTAGCAAAGTTCCGTTGCAACTTAGCTCGTACAAAAAAATGTTCAAGTTACGCGTAAATTGAAAATGTACGATCATCTCACTTTCTGTTTCGTTTTCTTCTTCAAAATTATCGCTTTCGCCAAAGATGACGTCGGGCATCTTTGTTTATTATTACAACAAGTGACAACAGGACAGATTCTCGCTTTATTATGGGTTCGTGCGCCTAATTGAAAAATTTGGAAGTTGCATGTCACACACGCGTTTTTCCGAAAAATGTTGAAAAAAGTAGAAGCCAGTTCTACTTTTCTCTCAACAAAAAAAATGAAATGTTCAAGTTGCATGAGGGGGTGTCACACGTAAAAAAACGCTAGTGCAACTTCAACATTTTTTTGCGCGACACAATTCGTAAACCTGCTATGACATTTTGGAAGTTACTCTATCACATTCAGATTTTACTTAAATTGTTTGCTAATGTGTCTTAATTGAAACAGATTCAAAGTACTGCAGCCCAGAGGAAATGAAGAAATGTGGAATATATGACAATAACAACAATAATGAAACTAGCAGCAGCGCCAAAGAGAACGTTCAAAAATTTTTAACATTGCTAAATTTTGGTGAGTGAATATATGCTAATATGCATTTCATTTTGGTGCACTCCCTATTTCTAGGCTACACCATTAGCGCGTCTTCATGTAGAAAAAGCGACTGCATTGTTCAACCTAAAAAAATAATGTTTGAAAACCGCTTCTAGTCGGACCATCACCTCGGTGGATCTTAATTGCCAACGAGCCAGCCAAGCGAATACCCGAAAAAATAAATAAATAAATAAATAAATAAATAAATAAATAAATAAATAAATAAATAAATAAATAAATAAATAAATAAATAAA